ATGAGCCTAAATTGATCTTTACTAATGAACATACCCAAAGTTTCCTTACCAAGATGGTTCAAAATAAAATAACGTAATAAAGTCACAAAAAGAAGATAAAACAACAAGTGAAGACCATTGTAAAATATAATATAGAACAACGGGCGAAGTACGTCACAAAAACATAATAATATGCATTTGAGGCCTTTTGTAACATGCTTTGCATGCTATTTGTTGCGAAAGTTTTCTTGAAAGATTTTCAAATCGATAATTTCTGGGCTCAGTCCAACGCACATTTCTCAACCAACAACCAGTCCAATCCGCTCCAAACCACAACCAATTGATTCACCTCAGTTGTTATTCAATCTTACCCACGTAGGACAAGAAAAGATGATGATTTGTAGCCACAAAGATTAGAAGAAGACACTACAAATGTATACTATGAAGGAACCACCAATTGCACATGTGATACAAGCGTTCTAGACACTTCTGGAAACCTTTTTTCTCACACAAAGGGGGCAGCCGGGATTCTCTTTTTCTTCTCTCAAAATCATACAATACATCATAAGAAAGTGTATAGGATTATAGCCATATATATACTCTAGGGTTAGGCTTTAAGTTGGACCATTAAAGGGGTAAACGGGCCAAGATTTAAGCCATCCATAAGGGAATACAATTGGGCTGGGTGTAGCTCATGGACTTGGTTGTTGGACTTACTTCATTCATCAGCCTATGCCTATGAAATAATATTATCCCACGTTAACATCATAGCCTGGAATTTATTGGGTATCAAAAAACCCAACAAATCTCCACTTTGATGCCCAATAAATCTACAAGTAATCAAAACACACAGTTCGCACTTGCATAATCAAAGTAGCCAATAAAATTGGATCACAGACCTTACCTCGTGTTTCCAACTTGAAATACATACCATACCAACTACATGTACTCACTGGGGCTAAGGTAAAAAACATTCAAGTAGAAGCAAATATTTAACAATAAACAATCAAGAGCAAATACATATGTGATGACGATAAACTATAGGATAACACACACAGATCTTTTCAGAAACACGTTCACATAGAACCATAGATTAATACTAAGTCAATCAAACCACGGTCAACCACATATGAAACAAATGCATAAATGACCCTAAGAAAAGATCTCATCACATTTATCTTATCTCATTCCGTGTTGCTCACACCTCGAGAACACATATCTCATCTCATCGCCCACCAAGCTCACTAGACAGATCACTCAACTCATGTCTAACTGGAAAGTCACAATAGATCCTAAGTCCATAGGATAATCCTCTATCTACACATCACTTCTCTCAACCTACATGGATAATGGGTCTCTACCTAACAGAAGTGATAGAAGTGTCTCTTTCACACTCCACCTAATCAGGGTCTCTTTCCAAATAAAGGATTCTAGACATTTGATCACATTTCTACTCGTGATCCAAATGTCACACTCCATTTTCTTTTAACGACTAATTACAACATCCCTTTATTTTTCTTTTCTATTTTAATTAGATATTTTAAACTTTTAACTTTTATTCAAAGTACACCATGAAATATATGATTAAAAATATATAAAGCGAAAATCATGCAAACATTTGCCCATTGAAATGGAATGAAGTTAATTACATGGTCAAAGTTTCGCTAAAAAATCTTTTACATATTAAAATCCACAAAAGTGAAGAATGCTTGTAGCGTTGGCAACGGTTTGGTTATGAGTTGGTTCGGCCAAAATCATAACCGCACCACCAATTTTTTGACTATACCATAACCAGGTAAATCGGTTCGGTTCGGTTAATAACTACGAAAATAAATTATTTTTTATAAGTTCATTCATCAAATTAATATAAAACAATTTATGAAAAAAGTCAATGAAAACAAAAACACAATATTCCAATTAAAAATGCAAACATTATCAAATAATATTCCAAACGCAAATGCAAACATTATCCTAATTTTCAATTGTAAAAATACAAATTTAACAAACAATATTATAAATATAATAATACTAAACTTTTCCTTTATTCTTAATTGTTGTGCATCGAAGTTACTTGATTCATTCTTCCCTACAAGTCTTACTAGCATAGATCAACATTCAAAGTTGATTCCTATTCATTCTTGGCAATACTGGCACGTCTAGAAAAACATCGAACTCTATTTTTATATGATCAGCAGTAATAGAATGGCTAACAAATGCAACAAATTTTCGGAGGCGACGACGACTTGGATCGTAGAGGCAGTGCAGCCGTGCGTGAGTTTGTGGTTTGTGGAGAGTAGGGTTTGTATTTATATACTGTCATACTAATGCTATTATGGGCTAATGGTAAGTGGGCTGGTCGAATGAGTCATGTAGATGTAATGAGGAGGGGAGGGATTTTGTTTTGGTCTGGATAGAAAAGTAGTGTAAAGCCCATAATCTAGGGATGGGCGCGGGTCGGTTCGGTTCGGTTCTAAAGAGAATCGAACCGAACCGAAATTTTCGGGTATCTAGTAAATGAAACCATCGGGTCCAAATATAATTATGGAACCGTTTGGGTTCGGTTCGGTTCCATTCCGTTCGGTTCCGTACTATAATTAAATTTTTTAATATTTATAAAAACACCATATAAATACAACTAATGATACATTCAATCATAGTTTTACAAATTAACATAGTCAAATTTAATAACATGTAAATAACAAGTTGTCCAACAAGGCAACAACATTAATTTACGAATACCAAAGAGTAGAATGCGTAGATACTCATACTAAAACTTCAACTATCCATCAATTGCTTGACTTGTCATACTCACTATTAAGAAACTCTGCAAGAAAAAAATTGAAAAAGCACAATTAACTTGTTAACAATCATAAATAGATTCAAATTTGTTCAACTAATAAGATTTAATAGTGTGTGTGTGTGTGTATTATTACCTGTCTCAATGCTCTCATAGAACTCCGTCTCTTCAATGCAAACTCTATCTTGAGAAACTTTCAAAAGTCTAGATTCTTCTCTTAGCCAATTTTGTGTACAAATCAAGGCCTCAACTGTTTTAGGAGTTAAAGAACTCCTGAATGGATCAAGAATGCGCCCTCCAGTACTGAATGCTGACTCAGAAGCAACTGTAGATACAGGAATGGCAAGAACATCCCTTGCAACCTCAAATAAAATTTCAAATCTTGATTTATTGATCTTCCACCAATTCAAAATGTCAAAATTTTCATCACTAGCATCTTCAGTGGATTCCATTAGATATCGTTGTACCTCATCTTTTCCAGAAAAATCCATTTTGGTAGTTTTCAATTTCTTGTACCCAAAATCAAAATTGCAATCATCCCAATCATCATCATCATTCAAATCCTCCAACAAAGTGACTCCATCATTAGATTCATCACCCCCACTTCCGCTTCCACTCGGTCCATTGTTTGAACGTTGCCATCCCTTTTGTTGGTTATATAAAGCATACAATAATTTTATGACCTCGTTTTTTGTAGCTTCAACTTTAACACTGTCATACAAAATACCAATGCAATGTACAACAAACTCTAACTTATACCTAGGATCAAGCATAACTGCTATAATCAAAATCTTATTCATTTTATCAACTTTACCCCAATACTTGTCAAACTTAATTTTCATGCTATTTGCTATACTACTTAGCAAATAATCTTGCTTCTCCCCCATTTTCTTCAAGATTTGTTCAATTTTATAAACTTCATGGAAGTAAATATTGGAAGTAACACTCAATGAAGCACTAAACTTCAATGTGACATCATAAAAGGTTCTTAGAAACTTGACAAATTTTCTAGCTTTCTCCCAATCATAACTTGTAGGTGGCCCCTCTTTTTCTTTTCCACCTTCATTTTCATCAAAATATTTACAATAAAATCCGTCCTCTTCCTCCATTCTTTCAAAAGCTTTTTCAAAATTCAATGCACTATCCAACATTAAGAATGTTGAATTCCATCTAGTAGGAACATCTAAAATAGCAAGTTTTGTGCATGCAATCTTTTCCCTTTCAATACAACATTTAAATTTTGTCAACCGAGAAGGAGATGATCGAAAATATTTTACCGCATTGCGAATACTATCTATAGATGGATTAAACTCTTTCAACCCTTCTTTAACAATCAAATTGATTATGTGTGCTGAACAACGTACATGCAGATAAGAGCCATCTAAAATCATAGTATCATCAGGTTTCCAATTCTTCAACTTGTTTCTCACATAAACGATCGCTGCATCATTTGTGTTTGCATTATCTACAGTAATGGTACCCACACACTCTATTCCCCAATCAAGCAGACACGTTTCAATAATCTTCCCAATTGTCTTCCCTTTATGATTTGGAACCACAGAAAAACTCAATATCCTCTTATGCAATTTCCAAGCTCTATCAATAAAGTGTTCTGTGACTACCATATAATTGATGTTTTGAATTGATGTCCAACAATCAGTGGTTAAAGAAATCCTTTGCCCACCCTTAATAAATTTAATCCTCAACGATTCCTTTGTTTCATGGTAGAGATGTAGCACATCTCTAGTAATCGTTCTTCGAGAAGGAACATCAAATTTAGGGCAAAGTTGACGAACAAATTCCTTAAAATCCACACCTTCCACAAAGGAAAAAGCCAATTCATGAATAATAATCATCTTAACCAATGCTTTTCTACACATTTCTTTATTAAACACCGTAGGCATAATACCACCATCATTGTTTTCTCGAGTGAGAAGTGGTTGGTTTTCATCAATTTTAGTGTTCTTATATGCATAACAAATTTTTAAATGCTTCCACATGCTAGAAGTTCCACTATTAGTGTCAGCTTTAAATGTTTTCCCACAGTAATTACATTTTGCTCTTTCTCCCCCAAGTATCTTAGTGAAATGATTCCATATTTCTGACCTCTCATTAGGCTGCTTTTTGTCTCCCATTTGGGAATCTAGAATTGGTATCACCTTAAGAAGAAACTTGATTAAATCCTGCACAAACAATGTGGAACACAAATTACAAAATCCTGCACAACAAAACAATCATAACTAGATAGGAACTTATGGATTAAATAGCTTAGATATTTGAATTGCACTACTTTTTTTATAAAGTTGCGGAGACAACAAAAAGAAGGCACGTTCAATGAATGGCCTTAAATGTTTTTATATGATTTAAATATAAGGATCTGGCGGCCTCCGGCGATACCTACTACACTTAATTGGTGAATTGTTAGACTTCAAAAAAATTATTGTCTTTTATGCTTTGAAAATTTTACCCTTCAACTTCTTTTGCACTGTCGATTAAATTATGTGTCAACGTTCTCAACAATTTAAATTGCATTTGTTTTACGGGTATTAATCACGCGTGGCCTATATAGAAAAATTCTATTTAATTCTAAATCGTATTTCAAATTTGAAACAAAACTGATTATCTCGTTGAAACATTATAAAAATTTAATATACATTCTTACTTTATGAATTTAATTACAAATGACTTCTTACTAATAGGAAAATAATCACCCTCGACTTTCAACCCAAGCAACCTGTAGCAATCCCAACCCAAGCAAGAATTGTAACTAATATGTGATTCCTCCAGTATCCAATCCTCCCCATTTTAGGCCAGAAGTCTAAAACAAAGAAGTCAATTATGCTTTAACAATTGAAAATAAAACACTGCGAAAGCGAAAACTGAAAATAAAACATCCAACTGAAAACTGAAAATAAAACTGAAAGCGAAAACTGAAAATAAAGACACCGTGAAAGAACTCACCGAAATTCGAAATCTGGAAGGCAGCAAACAAAATCGGACGGTATGAGAACTCCGGGTCGGCGATTGTATGGATTTTCTGGGACGGTATGAAACGTTGAGGCTTGAGCTGAAGGGACCGGCACAGAGAGTGAGAGACGGTGGGAGTGGGATTCAAGATTGAAGAGTAGGCTATTTTACTTATTAGTTATTTAGTTGGACTTGGGTAGTTGGATCATGTTGATTGTTGGGCCAAAAGTTAGAAAAATTAGAAATTAAACAATAAAATGGGTTGGGCCAAAGGTTAAAAAATTAGAAATGAAATAATTATTGGGCCAAAATTGTTTTTTAGAAATTGTTAATTTGTTTGAAAAAAAAATTAAAATAAAAAACATTTTATTTCTTCAATAAAAAAAAAAGCTAGAAATATTCGGTTCTCATTCGTTTCTTGGTATAGAACCGAGAACCGAACCGAACCGTACTCGTCGGTTCTCAATTCAGATACCCGTTCGGGTATTTAATTTCACCAAGAACCGTCGGGTTCGATTCGGTTCGGGTTCGGGTTCGGTCGGTTCGGTTCGGGAGATTTGCCCAGCCCTACCATAATCAATTCAATTGTGTTTTTTTTTTTTTTAGTGAGTAATCGGTTCGGTTTCGGTTCGACGACGTAAATATCATACCTGCACCATTACGTACCGGTTCATTAAAATCAAAATCATATCTGCCCCATTGCACTAAGCAATTACTTTATTAAATAAAAATTTGTAAGATCCCTTTAATATTGCAATATATTCGAAACGGAGTATGCTGTTGAAGTTACATCTATTAAAAACGACTTTGTGACGTTTTGAAGTAATAACTACTAAAAATGTATTAAGCCCCGTTTGGCCCCCATTACATCATATCAAACTAAATTAATTTTTTTTCTTTTCTATTTTCAACTAACAATTTTCGATAAAATAATATTACACGTAAATCGAAAAATTTTCATCCTTTTACAATCATCCATTAAAAAAAAAAAATCTTATTTCTCTATTATAATCAAAATTAATGGGGGCAAAACTGGGGTTAAGTGAACTATGATTTTATTACCATTGTTGCCTCTAGAAAATGGTTGACAGTAAAAAGTCAAATATTAGATGTTCAATTAACGATGCCTGTGGTTTATAGATCTTTGTGAATGGTGGTTTTTGGTACCAAATTACAGTTCTTGGCTACATTGTGACTTAGCTGATGTTTATAGGAAAGATAAACAAATCTCACGAAGATTAAAAATTCACGAATATTTCCTTCAATCAATGCGACCTCAAATGGCTTACGATGCTTTATATAGCGAAAATCCCAAGGAAATTCGGAAAAAAATTAAATAATAATAAATTTTTCAAGATTCCTCCAACAAATGGAATTCAAATCCGTATTTATTTGATTGAGATATAAAAAAAAACAAAAATTATCAAAATTTAAAAAGAGAACGTATAAAGGAATGCCTAAATGAAGAATTTGCTCGAAATTGGCCCCGCATCAGGGATAAAACTCGTGAGTCTTGTTTATTGACCCGTTCTCAATCAAGTTTGACTAAAAATTTGCCAAAAACGGACAACTCCAAAATTTCTCCAAAAATCGGAAAGTTACCTATTTTTGCTTGCGCAGATCCCACTTCGTCATAAAGTTTAATTCCTTCTACACCACATCACATTGTTAATTGAAACAGTAGGTTTTTATGTTTCAATTGAATTTTGATGATCAAGTTAGTTGAAATAAAGAGTGTGTGAAGATATAAAAGTTAGCAATATAAAAAGTAAGAAAACTTAAGGAGGAGGACGTTTTCATACACGTACTCCTCTCGTTGATTTGAGAGACGTTCTTATATTCTCTCGATGAATATAGGAAGTGGATGCAACTTTCTCTCATGTCTTGTTCATTAGTTGTGGACCAATCTTGTCGACTAACTCATTATGACTGGGTCATACCTTGTCTATTGATGATGGAGATAAAAGTTGGAGTGAAGGAAAATGAAGATAATGAGCCCCGTTTGGCTCCCAATTTTTATTCTTATTTTTATTTTTATTTTTTTCAAATTTTATTGTTTGGATATA